GACAGGACCATTCTTGGTGACGACCTTTAGATACCTATCCATGTGTCTGATCCCTCCGCCACGTTGTGGCCAGCTTATGCTTGCAGAAAGAACGGACAATGACTGAAGGCGGCGCTTGGAAGCCCAGAAGTTCTTTAGGCAGATGGAGTCAGAGGATGATGATGATGATGATGATGATGATGCACGCATGCACAAATGGGCGCACGCGATTATCCCACGATTGAGAATGTGTTAGTGCCGGTCTCCTGTTTTGGGCGCGGCGAGCTGTGGCTAGCAGATCCTAGCGGTGATCATGTACTTCACGGTCATTCTGGAAAGCTTCTGCCCATAAGGAAGCCGTGTGTGCAGTTTAGTCCACGAGCTCATCACGCTACGATCCTGGTCATTGGGTACCACATCCGAAGCCCACTACACCTGCTCACTGAGGCAAACGTAGGCTATCTCAAGCGGGTTGGCTTTTGCGAGAACAAGCTGCACATGGATGTCTTTGCTCTGATGGATGGCGCTTCCCAGTCGTTTCGCTAGATGCCAGGTTTTATGAGTTGGACTGTGGCGACTTGAATGGTCGGTTGCCCAATGCCATAGTCTTCGACGAGATTCAGCGATGCGTTCTCCAGTACATGCCAAGAGGCTTCGGTATGCGTGGTTTCTGGTGGTATGATGGTCCTTGTCCAGGTACTGATGGGACGACGATGACAGCAACAATGATATTTGTGGGGGAAGCAAATTGCCATAACAAGGATGTGGTCGTGGTTGTCGTGGTCGTGGTCGCCGTGGTCGTGGTCGCCGTGGTCGTGGTGGTCTCGGTGGTTGCTCGTGGTCGTGGTGGCGGTGATTTTGGTCGTGGTCTTGGTGGCGTTGGTCGCCTTCGTGGTCGTGGTGGTGGTTGTGGTCGTCGTGATGGTGGTGCTGGTGGTGCTGGTGGTGCTGGTGGTGGTGCTGGTGCGGGTGCTGGTGCTGGTTGAAGGTTAGCAGGACCAGGAAGATGATGAGGAGGATGGAAAGAGCACGTAGGCCATGGTACTTGTAGGAGGAATAACTAACTCATTGCACAAGACGACGCGATCTCCATGTTGATGATGATGGTGATGATGATAATGATGATGATGACTAGTAGTAGTATTTTATTATTACCATTATTGTTATTGTTATCGCGTGAGCAGTGGAAGCCCTTAAGAGCTGTGGGTGCAGGTGGGCACAATCACCAAGTAATAAGGTCATTAAGCATGACCAAGTAATAGGGTCTCATGCAGTCATTATGTATTGTCATTCTTGTCATTATTGTCATTATCATCCTTCTAAGTGTCGATTTGGACTTTATGCCGAATGTGCTGGGGGATGGCCACGCAGGCAAGGAGATGGAGGGAGCTGGGCATGAAAAATTGACGCATTCCGCTCCAGACTGCTTCCGCAAAGCCAAGTTTTCTAACCAAGCAGGCCACACATCGAACGGCAAAGAAACTGCCTCGGGCGCCTGGACCCAAAGACGCAAAACATGCAAAGCTGCGAAAGGACCTTTCGGGCCTGCAGCGGGTTTGGTTTTCCAGCACTGGTGATGAAAAGGACTTCGCCTGACCGCGAACAGCGAAACAAACAGACCGTGCCAACGCGAAGTGTGGGGTTTGCACTGGTGGATGTGTGCTGTGCATCCTCCCGAAGTCGCAAGCAAAGAACCTGAGAACGCAAGCCCGCAAGGACACATGGAGCTCAGGAAATGAGATCCGCACTGGATGGCTTCTGCAAAGCTCCAGTGCAACCTGATAGTGGGGTTGGCAACAAAAACCCAACTGAGACGCTGCAAGCTGAGGATTCGGCTTTTGGGAGGCCTTGCGTTGGCGCCGAAACGAAGCCGACCTCGTTTCGGAAAACATGTTCAATGATAGCTCTGCCTGACGCGCTTATGAACAGCGCTCCTCAACTGCTGCTATCTGGGAAAGACCATGACAAATCTCTCAACCTTGCTCTGAAAATCAAATTAAGCCTGAACCCTTGCTTGGATGAGTTTTCTCTAGCAATCTCTTAACTTGGGACTGCAAGTTTCTAGCTGACAACCCTTGACTTTGGTTGCTGCACCTCTTCAAAGCCATTCAATTTCTGCTTTGCTGAAACAAGAAAAACAAAGTTGAAGACAGCCAGGCGTCAGCTGTAGGATGTTTTTGCCTCATTTTTTTTGACAACTACACGTTCTGCTCTGCTTCCTCCTGTTGTTTCTGCTTCTGCTCTGCTGAAAAACAAGAATAACAAAGTTGAGGATAGCCAGGCTTCAGCTGCAAGATATCTTGGCCTCAAATTGTTTGCCGAGTGCACGTTCTGCTCTGCTTCCTTCTGCTGCTTCTGTTTCTGCTGCTGCTTTGGTAGCCTGCTATAATGCAGAAGGCCACGCCAGCACTTGCATTACCGCATTCACTATTCCTACAACTACATTGTAGGCTTCAGACAACTACTTTTTCAAGTTGAAATGTAATCTAGAAAATGAAGGCTAGCGGGCAATCCGCGACTTCAGGTGCCGCTGGCATTTTTGCTAGAAAAGGTTGTTACAATGGAGGATCCGACAGATAGATCTCTACTGTAGCATCCATGTGCCACATTTTCAATCATCCAACCAATTAGGCAAGCGGCATGCTGGATTAATTCTTCAAATGGTGATGGATGTTTACTTATGGTAGGATATGTATATTGCTTGCCTTAACACGTTTGTCCACGCGTGCAGTAGATGGGGGGGGGGCAAAGATCACAAAGACAGAACCGTGAAGATGCATTTGCTACATCGTCTAGACGCCAGAAGTAGCTGCGGTGCAATACATTTGGATCTAATGATGTGTCGTTTTTTGTTGTGGCAGATGTGTGGTTCATGCAGTAGTGACAAGATTGTTGTTTTACACCAATGCGTACATGCATTGGCACCACTTCCCGGCTGATGTTAACCCAGATGCCTTTGAAGAACAGACATGTTCTGGGGCACCTCATGAATTCAACAAGTTTGTTTGGCAGGCAGACTAGTCCGTTACGTCAGCTTAGGGTTACAGTGACAGGAAAAGCGGAACAGCACAGCGTAGCACTCCTTTTTCCTTCTTAGTGTTTGATTCCAGCGGCAGAACTGAAGACATTGACAGGTAAGTCACCGTCAGTCAAACCCAGGCAGGGAATGACAGGACCTGCAGAAACTATGGACCTACAGGCAGGAACAGCAGGCTGCATCACCGGCCCAAATTCGACTCAAGACAGTGCAGTGGATTGACCCGCAGGGAGACAGATGCAGCCAAATAGCCACACAGGACAATGCACCGAACAGGGAACGTATATCCAGACCAGGCGGATATGTCTGGATAACGGGCACAGAAGAAAGTGCGGCCCAGGGTGGAGAACGAGACTGATCCGGACGAAAGCCCAGAGCAGACGGATCAGCAAGACCGGCTGAGCGCCAGGTCGTTAAGAATCCCCGGAATGTGATTCACATGGGCGGACACACGACAGTCTTCCTGAAAATGAAGAAGGCAGCGAAGCAAGTGGCAAAGTCCCTTCGCCATAGAAAGGCCCTTCCACGAGACGGATTCAGCCACCAGCGTTGTCGCAAGACAGGTGAACGTCGACGGGCAGGTGATGAGGCGGGAGCATGGAATGAACCAGCCAGACCAGGGCAAT